TGTCTGAGTGTGTGTCTGTGTCTTATTCGAGTTAATTTGATAAAGTGTACTGTTCTTTTGTCAATCGGAGAGAAATCGAGCTATTGTGTTCTTTTTTAGAAAGTTAGTGTAAAAGAAAGGATTGTTAGCAGTTTCTTTAAAAGAGAATTCGACTATTGTGTTTCTTTTATTGTTATTTAAAGATAAACGTGACTTACTTATTGGAGCACGAAGTAGTTAGAGGATTAGGGTGTTGAGCTTTTTTGCGTTGCTTTGAAGTCCTGTGGATGCTGAGTTTGGTTACAAATCAGTCGACAGATCGTAAAGAAGTCGAATTTTGAAGTCAAATCAATAAACCCGCCTCTTGATTCAAGTCGAGGCCGGGTCGAGTCGGGCTCTGGAATTCATTCCAGTCCTGTACAAGTCGTGTTACAACCTTGCAAAAGATCAACAAACTCGAGTTTACATATCTCTATACTACAAACTCGTGAAGAGTTGTGTGTAATAGTGTTAGACTCCGCTCTGTGCTGCGCATCCAACCGCGTGGTGTAAAATAGGTTTTGGGAAACCTTTAAAAGACAAAGAAGTGAGAGTAGAGACGCCTCATCTCAAATTTCGAAAGCAATTTTGAAGGACGAGGGCAGCTTCACAGCGCCTGTAGTTTCATCCGCTCTCTCGAGTGGTGATTCTTCCCCTCTCCGGCTCAGCCTACGCTACACTGTGTAGGAGTTCTACAACGTGTACACCTGGACGTGGAATAAATGAATTATATTCCAAGATAAAAGAAAAACTTACTTGGACCAATGCTTAATTTGGGAATACCACTTGTCACCTGCTTCCTTGTCATCCTTACACTACACAAAATGTAATCTTTACCGGGCGGTAAAGAAAACTACTGACATAGAAAAGTCCTGAGGCAACAGGAAGAGAGCTAAAAATCTGAAAAAATATGCACCTTGTTCCGAGATGTTGGGGCGTCATGATGAGTATTTTTTTGTATTTTACACACAGATATTGGTTAATGTACTAACAATAAAGGCTGAAAATCATCAAAAACCCACCTGTAACAATGCCTGAAATTTGGCCCTTGATTTTGAGGACAGGATTTTGGAATCCTCAAACATCAATAACTTTTGCAGTTCTGAATCAAATCACTCGATTTTTAGTTCATTAAAAAGGTGAGTCTTTCCATCCTACAGAGATATTCATGCAGAACTGTTTGAACATATGTAGAGTGTTTAAATGACTAGATAGCACCTCACTAACATTATGAAGTGTGAAGGAGAATAGTTCAGCTTTTGAATGAACCAAAAATCGAGTTCTTTGGAGCAGAATTGCAAAAGTTATTGAAGTTTTTAGACCACAAAATATTGTCTTCATACTCATGACCCAAATTTCAGGTATTGTTACATGTGAGTTTTTGATGATTTTAAGCGTTTATTGTTAGTACATAAACCAATATCTGTGTGTAAAATACAAAAAAATCCTCATCATGACGCCCCAACATCTAGGAACGAGGTGCATATTTTTTCGGATTTTTAGCTCTCTTCCTGTTGCCTCAGGACTTTTCTATGTCAGTAGTTTTCTTTACCGCCCGGTAAAGATTACATTTTGTGTAGTGTTATCCGTCATTAGACCGTGTTTTACTAGAATTAACCTTCTCAAATAACCTAGGCGATCTGCATTACCAAAAGACTCATGCACGTCCACAATGGAAGATATAGGTTGCGTCCCCAAGTGGGCACGCCCGACCTATTATAGAGCAAAGAGGTTCACTTGTTATGTACTCCAAAGGAAAATTCATATAACAGAGTACATACCTTTAACCCTAAGGGTCCTCTTTTGGGATCATTCAGCACGGCCTCTTCAAGCTTATCCTTTGAAAGGGGGTCGGCCTTTTTGGCTTCCGGCCATGGATGATTGTGCTGTCCTTGATGGCGTAGCAGCGCCCATTTGTCCACGGTGTCTTCGTCGATTTGACACCGTGCATAGCAAGCAGCGTGGACCTGAAGTCCTGGACATCCGGATGCACGGCAAGCAGTCGGCCTGAACCACAGAAAGGACATAAGTTTCAGGCGGTCACGTCAAAGGAGCAAATGTGTTTAAAAAGACTTACTCAGCTAGCAATTTGGCTATCATGTTACGACCAGTTGGTGGAGATCCAGAGAAGCCACAGCCAGGCTGAGAGCATATCATGACTCCAAGGCAATAGTATCTTCGAATTGTCCAATTCTCGTTTTGTTCAGTTTGCATGGTGTGCGTCCATCCAATGGTGCGGAAGTTGACAACTTGGTCCTCAGGTCTCAACACATAAACGGTCTCGCCATTGGGATAAAGCGGATAATGCTGCTCATCGAGTTTGCTCCCGTGGTCAATCCACGTGTGGTACTTGGATTTGTCGTATGGGAGTTGAAGTTGACGTCGTTGGCCTTTGGTGATTGTAAGGGTTTGAGAGTCTGGATCTTCATTGGGTTCTTTGGTAAAATCTTCAACACTGGGTTCTGTTTGGGTGACAAACTTTTCTGAGTCGATCATTTCGGTAAAGGCTGGGTCTGTCATAGCTATTGATCCAGATGAAGGAGAAGGGCTAGAAGGGCTAGAACGGCTATTAAATCTATTATACGAGGTATTTGTAGTGCTAGTAAGCCAAGATGAATCCGAGATATAAGAATCGGGGGGTTCTGGAGGCTTTTGCAGTGGAGTCGAATAAGAGGACAAGCAACAACTTTCGGGAGTGCTTTCTGGAGTCCTTCCAGATGGGAAGGACAACATATGTCCCATGTTGCTTTCTAACGCAATAGAACTTTCCGAAAAGGTTATCAGGTGGGTGCTTTCGTGCAAAATGTGGCAGAAGATATGACCAAAAGTGGATTTGAAAGGTCCTGCCAGCACCAATATGGCTGTGGCGGGAATAGCGATGATTAGATGGAATGGTGAGTAGTTGATTGGTCGTCAAGAGAGATCAAACTGGTGGAACTGATCAGAAATCGATTCCCAAAGTGGGATGCGTTTTCAGCTAATGGCTAGAAGACATCTGCAATCGTATAGTTTGTATAAGTTGGTGTTGAAGGTGGGGATTGATGAATCCACTCGCTGATATCGTGGATATATGGATACGTGGCCAATGGTATGGTAAAAGGGCATAGTGGCTGTGTTTCGCATGCATTCCTTTGCGTTGATATCCCAAAATCCCGATCAGGTATGGACATCTGATGTTTTCAATTTGGTTGCTTTCATCAGGTATTGATTCATCTGAAGGTTGTGTGTTGAATGGAGTTTATAGGTGCCTTCGAGGTAGGTATAAAGAGCTCGGTGGTAAATTCCATTCTACCACCGCCGAGGTGCAATTTCACACTGACTTCTGATTACACCTCACGGTTTGGTGTCACCCGCTCGGTGCAAAAATCAACTTCGGGGCCGGGCTCAAGAGGTTTGCACCGTATATTTTTACACGTCACTTACATGTGTAAATGGTCCGGTGTAAAAATATATACCTTGATGGGGTGCATGAGTTTTACACCTCCCTTTTTACACTTCACTTTTTAACACCAAATAAAAAAAAATGAACCAAGTGTAAAATTCAAAGAACCCCTCCCCCTCCTTTGAATTTTACACCGGACCTCTTTTACACATGAGGTTTCAGTGTAAATCACCCGGTGTAAAAATCTCCTACCCCTTATAATAGACTCTCATCTTCAATTATGATGACAAAATCCATCGAGTTGTTTCTAGCTCTAACATGTTCACTGTATCTCTCGAATTTCAAGATCTCGCCTCAAAGTTTCAGAGTTGACTGGGTGAAGCAGGCGTAACACCGATTGAGTTGCAATTTTGCCCTGAAAACGATGAGATGACTGCTATACTCGTCAAACTCTCGTGACGATACCTTTTCTTCAAAGGTTGAAAGGCTATTGTTATCTGAGGCCGCATTGTTGATCTCGTTTCAACAGCGTACATGATCGTATTTTTTGATCATCTTTGAAATCCAGCTGTGATAAGAGTACCCGTTGATAAAACTATGAACACAATTAAATGTCGAGACTATGAATGGCTAGAAGCCTCGTTTGACTTCTGAGTGAAGTTAATATACCCTGATAGGATTCGAATTGATAGAAACAAGAAGTGGGAGACATATTCAACACTGGAAATTTCACCTCATGACACTTTGCCATATAGAAATCTTAGAGGTTGGAGACAGAAGGAAGATACAAAAAACTATAGGCTTTCTATGTGGCCAAAGTACATGTGATAAAGCTCAGAGTCAACTTGAAAATCAGGTGCGGAGAAAATACTGATCATTTTACCTACTTTGAGAGATATCCTTCAAAGATTTAAACAACTGTCTTGAACTGAGATAGACTCCATCATAAAATCCTTTAGATGATCACTACATGATGATGAGATGCATAGTTGATGTGCTACATGCCTGAGAAGTTGTACCTCCGCCTGCAGTCAGGTATGAAAATGGGTAATTAGTTTGTATACAACGAGTTTAAAACGAGTTGAGCAAAGTGTAAATGACTCTTTGAAAAGTGAAAAGTTCAAATTTCTTTGAATTTCTGCACCTTGCTTCATTTTGTTCTTCCTGTGGCAAATTGTAGTGGAGACACCTTCCAAAATCTATATAATACCACCCATAAAATAGTGTTGAGAAGCCATTTCTGATAGAAAATGAAGAAGTGTTTTTGGTATATCCTGATCCAGACAATATTTCACTCAGATCTTTATGCTCCAACAGTTCATTGTATGAGGAGCAATTCCTTCAAGATGTGTTCTTCAGGGGCCACTTGTAAGTCAGTACATGGTGAGCCATCACATCTATAGATATAATCAGTTTCAATAGGGTTTATAACATCACATTCTTTTCAAATCAGAAAGCGTTGGTGGGAGGGAAGCTGAAGATAGATGGAAAGAGTTCTCCGCATGCACGTATCCCAACAGAATTAAGTTGACAAGAAAACAATCAAAGAGAATTACAAAGTTTTGGAGAAACTGTGAGTGATCCAACGGGTTCAAGCAACATGATAGATGAAAACACAGAATCTGATCCAGAAGCATTTGACATGCCAGGTTCTGAACACAACAAAATGAATAAAGAACATCCATTGTACTTTTCACATGGTGCAAATGGGAGGAGTACAATACATACATCAGGAAGCGGAAGCGCGGAAGGCAAGAAGGAGATCGCTCGTAGATTTGGCATTGATTTCAATTTCATAAATTCCTTTGACGAAGCTTCCGGTGAGTAATCCAAAAGATCCCCGCACAAAACATGAAAAATGGAAAATAGAATCTGATCCAGGCTAATCTCACTTGCCAGGTTCCAGAAAAAAGGATGATTATCCATCGTACGACTCTCATCTGGTGAAAGCAACAAATGAGATACTATTGTCGAAAAAGGGCAACTGGAAAGGTAATATGAAGATGATGTTGGATCAAATCAAACTTGAGAAGCATCGCAGGGATTCAGTTGCGGAGATAATGCTTTTCCAAATTTTAGCGGAATTTCTTCGACTGAATGGCTTACCATTCAAGGTGTTGCTAGTTATACATCTCCAGTTGCTAGAAATGAAAGCTACAGGAAACAATTCGGCAGCGCGTAAAGTTTGGGTGAAGGAGCTTCAATCCACAATGGAACTCAGTCGAAAATCTTGGAATCGACTTGGAGTGGCTGGAAAGAGATGGCAAGAGCTCTCTGCCTGTACATATCACAGCAGAATCAAATTAACGACATCCCAATCCAATCAGATTACTTCTTTTTGGAAAAAAGGTGAGTAATCCAAAAGGTTTCTAGTACAAGCAATACAGAATCTGATCTAAATTGACCTCAACTGCCAGTCTGTAAGAACAACCCAATATCCGATAGCTATTCATCATACTTCTTGCGTCTGGTAAAAGGCACAAATGAGATACTCTTATCAGAAAAGGACGAATGGGAAGAGATGATGATGAAGATGTTGGATGAAATCAAAATTGACACAATCTCCGAATTGGAGAAAATTTTACTTCTCCAAGTTCTAAAAGGATTTCTGTCATTGAAAAAGTTACCATCCTCGGTGCCAAAAGTCATTTATGTAAAATTGATAGAGCTGAAACCGATAGATAGCATGTCAAAGTAAGTGAAAAATGGTTGAAGGAACCAGGAGAGACGACCAAGCTCAGTGGTAAGACTCGCTTCCGACTTGAGGGATAAAAGTTGGAACGCAGTTTTGACATTCAGGAATCGGGGCCAGCAGAGGGAGGTTAGTTTTGATAGGAAAGTAGGAAGATTAAGATCCTCACAGGAGAGGAGCGCTAGGAATCCAATCGGGCAAGCAGAAAAGTAAAATTGTAGCGCGATCTGATTCCTTTCTTATGATGCAAGTTGTATTTCGTTACTTCTTTTGTCCTTGAAGGAAACTTTTCATTGGTTTCCAATTTGTTCTCTCTTCCAAATCCATTCTCAACAGAAAATATTTTATACAGCTCAGCCTCTACCAACCTTTGTTTATCATCAGTATTTATATTTACCCACCATCCCTCCCAGTAGGGGCTTATAAGGTTGAGGACGATGAGTTGAATTGATGTCACTTGAAGGAGTATCGGTAGAAGTGGTAAGAAACATCAGAATGGATTGTCAGCAAATTGAGTACAGTTGGGAGTCGATCGAGATGGGTTGGCTTGAGGTGGTTTGACTTACCTTGAGGTTATTGGCTTCTCAACTGAAGGTGATACTGCCTTGTGAGATCTCGGAGTTCCATCCCTAGCAATAAGCAAATTGAACAGACATTTGTTGATCAGTGTAGGTGGGATCCGAATTGAATTTCCATAACAGCCGAGTGATTCGATTTTTACACACCCACAGGAGAAGATTCAATATGCTTTTGGGTAGCATTGCAAGCAATAGATACATATGTACTCCATTAACATTTCCCCGTTGAAGCGCCTGTAGGCAATCAAGAGATGCAAAAGATGTACTCATCAATTTCAAAGCAATGAATTTTGTTAGAATTGACAAAACAAATGGACCTGTTTTAGCTTTGCCTCTTCCACATCATCATCTTGCTAGGTTAATGATTTTGGTTCTGGAGTTGTTTGGCAGCGATTTGAGCTGAATTAATATCAAAAGAAGAGAAGAATCTAGGGATGAACACCAAAGGCTGGTTGTTGTACTGGAATAGGAATAATTGATTTGAGTTTTAGTCACCCAAAACGTTTGAGAGGTGAGGGCACAAAGAACTGATGATCCGAAATACTTTTTTGTTCAAAGAAGAGATACAAAAAAGGGTCCAAAAAGAAGACGTAAGTTGGCCTGGCTTACTTGGAACAAAGGGCCCGGTTAGAAAAAACAGATTACTCACCTCACCAATAAAGGAATAAAAGCCTCAAGATCAGTTAGCATTCTGCTGTTGTTAATTTGCACTTGGATATGAATGTAACTATTTTGCTTCATAGGTAGATGATGTAATATGATGATCGTATCATTCTAGGCAATTGAATATGATTATTGATTGAATGTTTGTACCCATTTCATCAGCAGGTGATAAAAGTTGAATGGTAGGAATCGATTTTCAAACAATGATTGATTTTTCCGGATGTAAGATCCAAGTCAAATTCCAATTTAGAGCTAGATCAGCTGATGCTCAAGTCCAACCATTCCGTCGCAGGGTTTGATTGATCAGTATTGCACTCTTAGTGATTGAGAGCGAGGTATGTAAAAGATTAACTCACACTCAGTTTGACTGTCGCAGCAGCCGGCACTATTGATGGTTGGAAGCTGAGGCAGAAATTACACATTGGTGTGATAAGTCATGCACTAACAGCTTGATGAAGGATAGGTCTACCTGCAGTGGAGAGTTGGAATCCCTATCAACATGCCATCGGCCACAGCGGTTGTAAGGAATCTATTGAGATGTGGATAGGCGTCTGACGAGGAGGTTGACTTCTATTATTAAGACTAAGTGAAGACTGAATTCATTAGGATCAAAACCTGAAACTGGGGAGGGACTAATAGTTTCATGAAGATCATCGAATGACAAAAAAATCAATGAAAGGATATCTTGGGAAAACCATCCAAAGACCTAATATGAAGTTGGAAAGTAATTATTGCAAGGCCGTAACTTTGGCTGGTTAAAACTCACAGTTAGCCAGCTAAAAAGTGGAGGTTTTGGCGAGTTGTGTTTGAATTCATGGTTCGCCTTTAACATGAATTAACATGAATGATGATGAATGATGATGAATGATGATGATGATGATGATGATGATGATGATGATGATGATGATGATGATGATTTGTTGCAAGTGAAAACCCTGTGGCTTTTTGAGTGGCTGATCATGGACCCCTGGCTAAAGTTATAGCCTGACTGTTTCTCAGAATCGTGGCGGTGGTGACTGAGATGAGTCAACTATATAAACGCTGCTTTGCCAACGCAGAAGGAGCATTGTCCCTCCTCACCAGACTTGCCGGCTTTTCGTAACAACTTGCTGCTTCTTCGCTCTCAATTTCAGGAAGACTTTGAACTTTCAATATCTCAACGACTGTGAAACCAATCGACCTCTTTTTTTACGCATTATGTCTTGGAAGCCATTGATACCCGTCTTTAATCTTCTGCTTGTTTTCCTGCTTGCCGGAGATCTCGGGTCCAATATTTTGGTAGATGCCAATGCTATAGATTGCAATTATAGTTGGACTAGCGGAGGCCCAAGTCAGATACCTGGAGAGGGATTTAAACCATACTGTCAGTCTGCAGTCTTTCACTTCTTCAATTCCTGTCAAAGATCTTTCATTTCTAGGAATAGTGTGAACTGACCCAGCACTTTGTAAATCATGCTCACAGCGTGTGCTCCAACGGGGCGTGTCACGTATCTTTGCGACAAATGTGGAAGGCAAGATAAACAAATACCCTGTGGGACAAACCTTTCTGAGTTTCGATCAATCAGCAATGTAGACCGCTTACCCTTGTTTTCAACGGATCATTTCTCAGCTGCTGTGGATTGCGTCACCCAAGAAGGAAAAGTGGTGAACCATGGGGGTGCATGGGCCTGCGACCTCCTTTTGACGCCCCTTTCAGAACCTCGCAAAGACGGCAGAAACTTCAGTTAGTCATTATCCATACTTCACCTTTCACATTTTGACTGCGTACATCTCTACGAGATACGTCGAGATGCCTTGGAGGCGGAAGTCGATCTTCTTTAAGTGTCCATGCAAGTTCGCACACCAGAATACCATTTACTGATGTATCAAATCTTGATCAATCCTCAATCTTAAAAACAACAGATTGCAACCAATCTGCGACGCCGGACCTGTACTATTGCAGGTCTTTCGGTAGGCCTCAACGTAAGTATAACTTCTAGAACTCGTTTGTAGTCAATTCACACTAACTGGCCGTTTTTATGACTTGGAATTCACAATCCTTGCTACTGCATCTAGAATGTCCGGAGGGTCATTGTTGTGTTGCTGGTGATGCCAAATGTAAATTTAACCCCTAACCGAGTTCTTCATAACCTGAAAACTTTCAACAAAAAGGATTTCCAAGACTTCAGGAGATTTATAACGAGCAAACAGGGGTTCCCACCTCTTGTACCCACCTCTTGTGTTGTCGCTTCAAAGCTTCAAATATTCCAAAGCAAAACCTACTGATCGTCTGAACAAATTCTTCCGGTGATGGACAAAAGAAGCATAACAATTTGTACGAATTGAATATGTATATATAGATCGGCCTTACGTATCTTCCTGTGCTCTTGTCTTGTGATAGCGTTCATCATTGTAAAAAGCGTAAGATTTGGGCTTGCTCGACGCCCTATGACGAGAATTCATGTCCGCTTCGGCAGATCTTCTCTACATCCCACTCAGTTCAACTTATATCTTGGCGGTATCATATACACATCTCACACTTCACAGCAACAAAGGATTCATTCATCAAATCGGGTGACTTCCTAGCAAGATCTCTCTCTCTCTCTCTACATAGAAGTCTAACGTTGAACTGACAACAGGCGATCTCTCATCAGTCCTCTTCAACTCTCTATCTATACCTACCATTCTTTTCCCAAAGCACAATCCATCCCTACAAAAAGTAGCATATTCAGTCCAGATGCAATGACGTATGTAGGCCAATTGAAACAAGAAGGTATGCACATGTACAACAATGTGATCATTCCAAAACATTCCGATATAAATGAACCAATTTCAAACAAAGATGTACTTCTAATCTCACAAGAAAGAAGATTTCAATAATTACAAGAGATATTCTGAAGACCATGCGATAAAAATTCTATCTCTAAGCAGTAGAATGATAATTCCTGAAATACAATTTGAGGTATCCAAAAATGAAGCTAGAATGTAAATATCATAGGTATCAGCATAAGATAATAGGAGCCAAATTCATCAAGAGTGAGTGATGGCTACGAAGAAAAGCAGACACAAAACATAACAGGCAAATGTGATTTTTTTGGCCATCAGATACAATAGGACCAAGTAGAATGAACACCATAGATCCACAGATTGAGGACTCGGGGTGGCAAAAGCATGGTAACATACGTGATGTTGAAAGGGTTTGGTGAGAGAAGTTGTGCCTCTCTCAATACGTCTTGCCTTGATAGCCCGAGATGAGGGAATAGGTAAAATGGATCCTATTGAGTTTGCTATCTTTGCCCCGGAAAGAGCTCCCGTAGGTTTGGATTGACTTGTAAGGTATTTGTCTGATCTCATCACAGCTCATGACTCTCAAGATTCAATATTTACTAATACCAGCCAGTGATAAAATTATGCTTCTCCAATTAGGGTTGTCAGCCTAGAGAGTAAATCAAGCTTACTCCTTAGGATAACAAATCTCAAACTTAAAACAATATATTATTAAAAACATAAAAAGAAATGTATCTCTTGTAAACTCGAAAAGCTACAAGAGAACTTACAACTCACGCTCAAGTTTCAAGAGTGAACTAAACCCTAAGAAAGACCCTTTCAACCAGGTAAGATCTTTCTAACCCTGACTGGTTGACAGCTCAAGTAACGAGACAAGCCAACCATCTTTAATTAAAATACTAACACAAACCAACTACCGGTCAAGACTCAAATTACCACCCTAACCACCATTACGTAGGTTTCAAGGCCCATCGTCATAATCAGTCTATTCGAATCAAGGACTTGACCGGTTGAAACGAACCCTTGCTTAGCACAAATCACTGACGTGAAATCACTGATATAAATACTAGCTATCTACAGCTAAGAAATAAATCAGCATCTTATTATCATTCACACAACCTTTACACTTAGATTTTTAAAGCTTTATAACTTTTGAAACACCACCCAGCCGAAGCATTTAAACTTAGATTAACTATATCAGACTTATCCCTGAATTTGTATCATCTCGTTTAAATTCTATCTTCCTGGTTGTTTCACCTCTTATCACTTTAAAAACCTATACAAAGTTGTCGTCGAAATAAGACTCTCAGTTTTCTCTACTAAAACCCCTCGTCCTAAAACCGTTCTTAGACCGTTCTTGAATCTCATTTAGGTTAGATACCAACTTGAGTTCGAAAACGTAGAGGTTGGACCATACTACCCTGAATAGGAATACTTAGTATCCGTTCAGAAGACCCTAGTATCTTCACACAAGATCATCTAGTGAGTACTAGAATAACCCTCTTCAGCACAGTTGATTAACTAAAGAGTGTATTCTTTCTCAGGCTCGAATTTATCTTAGAGAAAAGTATCTAAACACTTTTCCCTATAACAAAGCCTAAACTAGCAACTTCAAAACTACTATAGTAAGTACATTTCAGCATTTAGATACTCAAAAGACTCCATCTTTTAAGACTTCAGCTGATAAGGGTACTCAAAACAATCAGGTTTGTGCTACCTTTCTTGAAAACCTACTTTCAAAATGTTGTTTTTGCGGGGAAAATGAATTGTACAGAACTCTAAAAAAAAGTTCCCGAGAATTCCCTCGCCAAAAGATCAAATTTGAATCTATGTTTTTGACATTTTTTGAAAAAGGTGGCACAAACCTGATTGTTTTGAGTACCCTAAATAAACTTACACCACAGATGGGCGCAGACGGCCTGTCCCTACGCAGAGGTTGGCCGTCTTAAGATGGGCCTCATGGTGAGCGCCTGCCAGACGCTTTCAAGCGGCCTGGCCAGGCGGCTGGAATGCAACGGCAGGTGATCTACAGGCCGGCTGCAGGCGGTCAAACGGGATGAAACCCAAGTGGTTGGCTTCCCCATTTACAATGCGGTCCAATTGCGCGGAGCGCATCAGGATTATTGGGTTGGGGGCTCAGCTCAGCATTGGGGACAACACATTGGAAACACCAAATGATACAGTTTTTCATTTTGTACAGCCGTTTCAAGAAAGATTGACAACTTTTTTTGAAGAAAGTTGTTGCCGCAGCAAGCCAAAAACTGAGAGAAATCTCCCTTACAGGTCTGTCTCTTCTGTATCTGCCACATTATGTAGTGTCATGAATACACATGCAGGCGGGCAGTCATGGCTTTAGATTATGGGATTAGTTAGGCTAGGTTATACCTTCTTGCTTGATGCCCGGTTCCAGATAGTCCTTACTCCTCAGAGAGCTGTCTATTGGACTTTCTGGAACCAGGTGAGCGTAGCTCTTTTATCTTTCTTTTGTTGTTCTATTTCATTAGGCTTGTTACTGACTCCTCAGAGAGAGACTTCTATTGGAATTTTTGGAACCAGCTTGTGATTCATCACAGGGGCCAAAATAGATACTCACATACATGTGAGCGTTGTAGACTTTTTGGAATTCTCCAAAAAAAGATTCATTTTCTTCCAGATTGATTCAATTCACAATCTTGGTTGTGTTCAGGTGATCAGCCTGTGGTGCTCATATTTTACTTGACATTTGTTGAGAAGGCTCATGTCCATCTTGGATGAGCAATAACTGATTCCCAATGAGTACTCAGGATCAGCTCATGGGTCACTGGATACTCAGCAATTTGTTCAAAATGAAGATGAGCACATGTACTATACCTTCCTGAGGCTTCATTTTTCAGTGAAGAAGCCTGCACAGGGGCGTCCCATTTGAGCTGCTCAGCAAATACTCAGTAGCATCCCCTGACTGGATCACTGATGGGCCGGACTTTCCTCAGACTTCCTTGCTAAGGAATGAAGCCTGATAGAAGCACCATCCCATCTGCTCAGCTAATCCTCAGTGATATCCTGGATAACGTTTTTCACACTGAGGGGCTGAGATCAACTGAGCATCCCCTCAGCCAATACTCAGTGACATCCTTTGGATCCTTCTGATCCGGCCAGGAATGCCCCTGAGGACTAGCTGAGCAGCCCCTCAGCCAATGAGCAGTGAAATCCTCCGGATCCTTTTGATCTCAGGAATGCCCCTGAGGAATAGCTGAGCAGCTCAGTTGAACAAGCAGAAGGGCCTCAGGCTTCATTCCAAAGCCATGAAGCTTGAGGCAAGCTTGGCGCTCTGTGATCTGTCTGGGGGATGCTTCAGAGACTTAGCTAAGGGAATACTCAGTTCAGCTCAGCCCCTAAGCTATACATTACACTACAAGAAACATAACATTTTCTGGGCAGAAAATTAAATTATTTGTATACACAAATCTGGAAAGGTCAGAAACAGAGCACAAAATGTGTAAAAATATGCATCCTGTTCCTTGGTATGAGATCTCCAATCTGCATATTTTTCCGTATTTTTGGGGTTCATATTGGTGAGTGTACTAACAATATACCCTCATAATCACCAGATTACCACCTGTAACAGATGCTGGAATTTGGCTGATCAGTGCTGAGAGAAAGTTTTGATTACTATAAAACCCCATAACTTTGTCAATTCTGGCTCAAAACACTCGATTTTGGGTGCATTAGAAAGCTGAATTCCTGAACTACAACTTTTGTTTTGACTCAAAATGTGTGTTCTCAACCGCAGGACACTCTATTAGCTGACTGATGTGTGATATGATCTCACCGGGGATATCTTTTTTTGCAGGCCCGCCACGTATTTGGTTCATTTATGAACTATCTTCAGGCAAATACCAGCTTTCCAATGCACTCAAAATCGAGTGTTTTGAGCCAGAATTGACAAAGTTATGGGGTTTTGTAGTAATCAAAATTTTCTCTCAGCACTGATCAGCCAAATTCCAGCATCTGTTACAGGTGGTAATCTGGTGATTATGAGGGTTTATTGTTAGTACACTCACCAATATGAACCCCAAAAATACGGAAAAATATGCAGATTGGAGATCTCAAACCAAGGAACAGAATGCATATTTTTTCATATTTTTTGCTCTGTTTCTGACCTTTCCAGATTTTTGTATACAAATAATTTAATTTTCTGCCCAGAAAATGTTATGTTTCTTGTAGTGTTAGTGGCAGACCTTGGAACTTATTGAACCAGGGAATGCCGCTCAGGATCAGCTGAGCAGATGGATCAGCCCTTCCTCAGACTTCTTTTCTCAGGAATAAAGGCTGAGGAAGGCTTAGTTTGTCTGCTCAGTTCCTGATGATC